ATAGGTAGGATACTTTGTTCTTCTACTGAACAGTTGAGCAAACATTAACATGAAACGAAGCCACTCCTTGACCATTATGGATTAAAACCAAAAACAAGACCATGTCTAAACATTAACAAAATTGTGAACTTTCCAAATCAATAAAAGGACCAAACATCCCCCAAACCTTACTGATATTAGTGTCTGTTGCTAATTTACCAATTACAGATTTAGCTTCAATCCAATCCTCCTGCCTTATATTGATAGATGAGATTTATTAAGATGTCCAATCATAGAATAGCCCCTGCTTTCTGACAGTATCTTACCAACAGTAAAATTTTGCTTCCTCGAACCCTCCCCCAAAACCACGTAAGGCAAGCCCAAATCCTGTAAATAGGTCCTTTCTAATGGTCTTTTACTGAGAATAAATGGTGTGTGTTCTTTCTTGTTGCAATAAGCAATAACTCAACTTGTAAACTGCAGGCATGTTTCTAGTGGTCTTTGGCTGGAGGCTATTTACACCATGTATATAAACATATTCTGCTTTGTAATTTTTATTACTTAATATATCTTGAATATTGCTTTCCATGTCTTCATATATTCTACATTATATGTTTTATAGCTACATAATTTTCTATTATTTGGATTGCTAGAATTTCTTTAACTAAACCAATATTTTTTTAGAAATCGAGTTCTTTTCTAATGTTTCACTGTAATAAGCAGCCCCAATGAGTAGGTGTAGTTAAATCTCTAAGGACCTTCATGATTGTTTCACCAGGAGAGATTTTTTTAAAGTAAAATCACTGGAACTATTGGCTTAAGAGATATGACACATACTCCTAAGACAATATGCTAGTCTGAATATAAAATCTTAGAAGTTATTATAGGATAGCATTTCAATCCACTTCAAACAGGCTTTCATTCCTATCACCTCTCTGCATAGCTCTTATCAATTCTGTATCTTTTCAACCCTGATGGTCATTTCCTTGTCCTCAACAAACTAAACTTCTCAGCAGCATCCGACACAGATAACTCCCCATAGTTGTTGAAATATGTTTCTATCTAGTTTCCCGGACACTGTTATTTCGCTTGGGTTTCTTCTCCCATCATTGGCTTCTCCTCAGTTTCCTCTGCTGGTTCCTCTTTCTCTGCCAGACTCTTCAGTAAAGAGAGTGGCCCAGGCCCTCTGCTGCTCCATCAAACTCTCTCACCAGGTGATCGAATATACACCCGTGGCTGTACCTGCCATTTTCATATTTGTAGCTTTTATAATGATATATCCTGCATGGACCACCCCTCTGCGCACCGGAAACACAGATCTCACTACTTATCTAACATGTCTCCAAACAAAATTATTGATGTCCTCAATCCCCCAAACCTTCCCTATCTCAGAAATGACATCATACTCCACCCGGATAATCAGACAAGAAACACAAAACAAGGAAACAAATGATTTCTAAGCTTTTCATTTTTTCACTCTTCTCTCCTTCACACACCACATTCATCCCATTAGGGGGTCCTGTTGACTCTACCACCGAAAATATACCCCAATCCTAACCACTTCTCATCAACTTCACAGTTACAATTGTAGGCCAAGCCACTGTCATCTCTCCTGAGGAGCACAGCAATGGCGACTGTGGTTGACAGTCTCACCAGATCGTGTCTAACAGGGAAAAACACAATTGCACAAAAGGAAATCAAAGTGCTGTAGTCACAAGAGGTAGAATCAGGTGGGATGTGGCCAAAGGCAACAAATGGCCTCTGAACTGGTTTCTACCGATTTTAAAAATATTTTACCAATTTTGTAGGTAACTAACATTTAAATGTGTACTTTGGACCAGCTGGCATTCCTATAATATCTAATAGTACAAACTTCAGACATAATTGTTCAAAGGATGGTTACAGAATGAGAACAAACCTGTAATACATGTATGTGTAAAATCTTGCGAAAATAAACTAGATGGAAAACAATGGTGAATATTTTTTATAATGTTGGAGAATAGAAGGGCTCTCTAAGCAAAAGGTCTATCCAGAAACTTAAACAAATACTAGTAACAATAGTAAAAATAACTGCAGTGGGTATGAAAGAGTGACAATTCCTATTATAGAAGAGCTATTAATGATCAAAAAGTAAGTAGTTAACAATCATTTATTATTAATGATCCACAAACAAAGAGACAATTATCTCCTTTAAAGATGCTCAAAGTTCCTCAAAAGTAAATAAATAAAAATTGGGATAAAAATGAAGTTTTATTTTCGTTATGTATCAGATTGGTGAAGTTAAAATGATTTATACCAGTATTGACAGGATATGATGAAATTGGCACTAACATGGATCATTAGTAGTAACATACATTGGGACTTAGAGTATTTTGGCAACATCTATTAAAGTGTAAAGCACACATACGTTTTGACAACTACTCCATGATTCTATATAAATATTTCCACAAAAGCCCAAAGATATCTGTGTGTGCGTGCGTGCGTGTGTGTGTGTGTGTGTGTGGTATATCTCTATACAGTCATCACAAATAATGATTTCAATAACCTGACATAAAAAGGTGTCTAAAATGTACTATACAGTGAAGTATCTAAAATGTAAAGTAGAAAAAGAAAGTTGCCACAAAATGGATTTTCCTACATTTTCATTAACATACATTCAAACGTACTAGCGTAAGCATAAAAAAGTCTGTACAAATATAAGAGAGTCAACTAGAGTTTCCTCTCTTAATGGTGGTGTCATAAAGAGCATGTTGTAAGAGCATTAGAGTGAAATGTGCTAGAGTAAGAAATAGTAACAATAAAGAAAGTAACCTTCTTTGTACTGAAACAAATAAAGTTATCTTTTATACACTGAAATACAGTATAATCAAACTTCTTTAGCTTGCAGTACCCTTTAGGTTTGCAGCATTACAGAGTCTTGTTTGAAAGGAACTGGTAATTGATGGTATGAATCCCTTGGCTCATTTTTTAGTGGTACAGAGAAAGATAAGCCTAGCCTCAGGATACTGGGAGAGAAAACAGTTTTGCCGTCCCAACTGCACCCCAAGTTCTACATTCTCCCCTTTAATTACCATCAATGATCCTGAATGCCCTAGTCAGCTTGCCTGCTCTTGCCCTGAATGGAAGATGAACAGAAGAAGGAAGAACAAGGAAGAACAGATAACCTTCTTATCTACCAGCTCTCTTTAAAGGCATACCTAGAAATATGGGGTTGGACAATTAAGTTCACGGACTCATCCTAGAAAAAGTCCTACATGCCTCATTGCTGAATATCACTACGGTCACCTTCGAAGTACTCCCCTTGGGAAGCTATGCACTGACACCAGCACCTAGTCCACCCTTCAGAGCAATTTTGGAACTCTTTTTCTGGAATGGCTGTCAGAGCTGTGGTCGTATTACCCTTGATGTCCTGAATGTCATCAAAATGTCTTCCTTTCAATATTTCCTTTATCTTCGGGTAAAGAAAGAAGTCATTGGGGGCCAGATCAGGCGAGTAGGGAGGGTGTTCCAACACAGTTAATTTGTTTACTAGCTAAAAACTCCCTCACAGACAGTGCCGTGTGAGCTGGTGCATTGTTGTGATGCAAGAGTCATGAATTGCTGGCGAAAAGTTCAAGTCGTCTTAACTTTTTCATGCAGCCTTTTCAGCACTTCCAAATAGTAAACTTGGGTAACTGTCCAGCTGGTACAAATTCATAATGAATAAGCCTTCTGCTATCAAAAAAGGTTAGCAACATTGTTGCAACAAGTTCACAAACTTAATTGTCAGATCTGGGTACATCTGAACTGGCTTTGTGGACACTACAGAAGGACTAGAAAGTGGAATCTACCTAGAATTAGAAAACACTGAAGTTAAAGTCCCTAAATCCTCATCTTGAACTCTAAAGTAAGAGCACAGCCATTGGAAAAGACAGCCTAGGAGAGGGCTTGGCATATTCCAGGAAGATCACAGAAAACTCACGTGGGAAAAAAGCAAAGGCTCCCTTCTAGGGTATTCATCCATGAGCATTCTAGAAATGTCCACAGGTTTTTGAAAGCAGTACAATGGTGCCATTTCCCCCAAACTATCGAGAAGTAACCTATATCACACACACATATATACATATATATTTGTACATATATATATATACTTAAATCTGTATTTATACTTACACATACCCACATGTTTGTGAATGTGAGGTATGTGATATTTAATCACAAAGTAGCTATTATTATTCATTGAAATTTACCTGCTTGTTTATCAAAAGCTATGAAGAACCTGATCATATGAAAAACTAACCCAGTAAGACAGGGAAAATAGAGTGATTCCAAAGCGAACGCTATTATTTTGAATTTCTGTTCTACTTCCACACTTCAAGTCACATAAAGAAGTGACACACTTCTGGGTTTTGTTGTTATTGATGTCTTGTTTTGTTCTAATAAAAATAATACAGCAAATGCATGAAATCCACACTACAAACCCATTTAGTACTCACGAAAAACCCATGAGGTATTATTATTGCATTTTTCCAAATAAGGCACAGTGAGGTAAACTGAGGCACAGAGAGGCACCCAGAGTTATTGTTCATACCATACATTTTTCTGAAACAGTTCATGTTTTAATGAATGAAATGTAAGAAAACTTCCCCCTCCCGAAACGCTCTATGAATTTTAGGCCCTAAAATCATCAACTGGCTGTACCAAGGCACCAAAGTGTGTCTGTTCGTAGGCCACGCGTGATGCATAATGTACAGAACACAAACCTAGGGCTCATTACATCCTACACAGGAGCAGCACATCGAATCTGGCCCCAGCGCTTTACTATGTAAACGTAACTATGGGAAAGAGGCATAAACAACCTTGGTCATTACACGGGATCCCCCCAAACGCGGGCACCCGCCAGAAAGTTTTGACTGTCTGCGCTGCAAATCACGGAGGGGGCTCCCTTGGCCATCTGGGCGGCGCGCGGTCCGCGGGGCCCAGGGCGCACGCGTGGCCCGGGCGCGGGGCCGCCCCGGGAGGCCGCCGGGGCGCTCGCTTACCTGGTGCGCCGCGCGCGCAGACACAGGACCAGGAGCAGCAGGAGCCCGGCCAGGGCCAGGCCCGGGAAGCTGAGCCCGCGCAGCGACAGCAGCAGCGGCTCCAGCGCGAAGCGGTCCATGCTGGCCGACGTGTATTCCGCCGTCCGGTTCGCGCGCGGCCGCGCGGCGCAGCCCCGGGTGTCCCTCCGAGCAGCGCGCCGCGGCGACCCTGCAGCCTGGCGCGGCTTCTCCCCGCCGCGCTCCCTCGCTCCGGCCCGAGACGCTGGCCTGCTTGGCGGCGCCGCCAGGAACGTCTCCGCAGGCCCCCGCGGCTGGGTCTCGAAGTTCCCGGACTCCCTCCGCCCCCGGCCCGTCCTCCACCCACGCGCACGCCCCTCTCGGCGCCCGCCTCCCGCCCGGCGGCTCCTGGCAAACGGGGCGGGAAGAAGGGCCGAAGCGGGGGAAGGGGTTGGGATTTCCCGAGAGCGGGCCTCGGAAGGCCCGAAGGGGGGTGCTTTCTGTTCTGGGTTGGCCGGGAGTGTGGCGTGGGTCGCTCACCCCTTCGCCTCAGGGGGGACCCTGCTGCCCCTGAAGAGGGCGGGACGGTGCCCGCCGCGCTCCGGCGCCGGGGAGCCCGGCTGCAGGCAGCTACCTGCAGCGAGAGCAGCGCGGCGCCCGCCCCTCGCCCGGCTGGTCTTGCTCGCTGACACTTGCGCTGAGCCCACTGGCTGGAGGGCTCGTCCCAGAGGCCGGTGAATTCGGGGACGGGGCCGTGACCCCTCGGCAGTCCCCGTGAGGCGCACAGTCCAGGCAGGCAGAAGACAGATGCAACCAGCTACTCCAGAGCACCACGAAGGCCCAGAATAGCCGTGGTACAAGCCCCACAGGTTGTACTTAGAAAGAATAAGGGAGAAACTTTTCGCGTACCTTTTCCTGAGTCATCACCGCGCACCGGCGACTTCACAGGTGTTTCTATACTCGCCTCGAGCAAACGTGTGATGTAATTTTTTTGCAGCATTGTAGAGAACGTATGAGGACACTCGGGTTAAGTAACTTACCCCTGTTAATTGATAAATGATAACAATAATAAAGTCATCGTGACCAGCGCCATTCCAAGACAAATGGAATATGTTCCTTTATGCAAGATTTTATTTCAACAGTTCTCTGAACTATTACAGCTTCAGAACTGACCGCCATACCTGTGACCTTTGACCTCTCCCGCCCATCCATCCTGTTGTCACCTCCCTCTAACACAGACCTATCCTGCTTTTCCTCTGTTCAAAATTCTTAACAGTTACCGTATTTCCCCATGTGTAAGACACTCCCATGTATAAGACGCACCTTAATTTTGGGGCCCAAAATTTGAAAAAAAATGTATTCCATAAAGTTATTGAACTCATGTTTTAGTCATCATAAAATTCATACAACTCCTCATCTGTGTCAGATCTACAACCACTGTATAAGATGCACCCAGTTTTTAGACCCAAAATGTTTTGAAAAAGGGTGCATGTTATACATGGGGAAATATGGTAGTTGACTTTGTGATAAAGTCATACATCTCTGACCTACAATGAGAAGCCTTCCACTGTTTCTCTTTATGGTGCAACTCCCATGGCTAGTGCAGTTCCATATACACGAAAGGTTCAACCAACGTGTCGCTCACAATCAGCCCTGTCACACCTTTGTTGATGACATTCAGCCTGAACATTTTTCCTCTCTTCCCTAAATGCTAACCTTCTACCTAACCCCTCAAGGCCTGGGTCAAACCCCACTTCCTTCTAGGAATCATTGCTAACTCTTCTTTTGTAATTAATTAATCTCTCCCTTCTCCATACTTTCAACACTTTCTCTGCTTTTGCCCCCTCCCATTTCCCCACTATGTCTGTTATTTATGCTATAGAAGGCCAGAACTATCTCTTAACCATGTCTGCACCTGCTCTCTACCCCCCACCCTCCTGATCCCGTCCCCTGGAGCTGAGATAACGTCGCTGGAAGTACTTTGAGTGTGCCAGGCTCTCAGTCGGTGCTCCATAACCAAGTTACTGCTGCTTTGCTGTCCTTGGCCTTCAAGCTGTGAACGGCTGGGCCAGATTATAACCCTAATGTTAACGAATATCTTCATCTCTGACTTTTATTCCGGGGTCTTTCTACTGCTTCTCCTTCCTCCTGTTGTAGATTCAATTTTCCAGGAAACCCAAAAGGTTTAGTGAGCCAACAACTACTCTGCCTCCTCCAAGAGAAAGCAAATTGGTTCCCATTACTCCTTGGCCAAGCAGAGCCCATGGACAGGAAAGCATCCGTGCTGTTCATTTCTGGAACCACTGCAGAAAGCCCCCATTGCTAGTTATCACAAGAAGCTTCAACCTTTATACTTTTATTTTCCATGTGATCACCTGAAAGTCTCTTCTGTTTTAAAACACAGGTAAAAATATCAAGCATTAATCAACTTATTGAACATTTACCACATGCTAAACATTCGATTTTGTAACAAGAATGGCAAACACCTGCCGTTAATCACACTGTCTTCTGGAGTAGAAGGAAGGCATCTACAGTGTCACCTACTAGATTTGGTTAGCAACTGTGTCATTTCCCCCAGGTACCTGTATGGCACCTTACTTAGAACACTTTAAGGTATGCACTTAATATATTTTGAATATACATTTCTCTTGTGTTTCCCATTTCTCTTTAAAGGGGTCTCCATCTGTCAACTGGCCTGATTCTGGCTGAAATAAAATCTAAAGACATCTTTTATTCCTCTTTTGCTTTTGTAGACCAATAACAACATCATTATAATCAGTCCAGTTCAATTTATTTTACCTCATACGCATGCCTTTGTCCCCATCACTTCTCCATGAGATGACTAGTTGACCTCCGTATCTATTTTCTCCTTCCTCCTCAGGCATTTTTAGCTAAGCATGTGGCTGTCCATTACAAACACTGCCTTCCCAGCCTTCCTTGTTAGATGTGACCATGTGACTAAATTTTAACCAGTAGGCTAAGTGTAAGGTATCACTTTAGGAAAGTGCCCTTAATAAGAATGGACAGGCCCTTTGCCTCCTTTTCTAGCAGGTTATCATGTGGACACTATGCCTGGATACTATGCCATAAAATACTGTGTTCCATAGTGTTTGCTGTTTATATGAAATTCAAAATGAACTGGGGATCCTGTACTTTTATTTGCTAAATTAAAGCTGGCAACTGTAGCTTAATTCCAACGCAAGGGTTCATAAGGCCTGTAGAGAAAGCAACCGTAAAATGCTAGCTGCCCAACTGTCCCCTTCAGAAACCAGCCACAAATTGTCCCTTCAACATCGCTTATCAGTGTTAGTATCTTGTGTACCTTGGCCACACTAATTAGACCAAGGTCAACAGTCAGATCTAAAAGAATCATGTGGTAGCCCTTAGACATGAGGTATCCAGAGGTGGAAGTGTGTTCAGCATAGGTAGCAACCGGCCTAAACATCGCTCTTCAGAAAATATTGATTGTGAGACACATGGAGAGAGAGAAATGCAAGCTAAAACAATTGAAAGCTGAAGGAGCAAAGGAAGAGGGTGATAACCCTGGAGTCTCAGTAAGAGCTATGAAAATCCAGGCGATAAGTCATACCCCAAACCCTGTCCTGCCAGCCCAGGTGACCCTCATCTACCAGCTGGTCTGAGCTGTCAGCCTTTTTCTCTGTCTAATCAGTGATTAGGGCTTGAATTCTGGCCTTGTTTCCCTCCCTGGTGGCCTTCTGTTGATTCTAAAGAGCCTGTTTGGAAGTCACCAAAACTTGGGTAATGATTATCTTCCTCCTGCACTTCAACATCTATGTCCTAATTCTGCCCTGACTTTGAAAATACTGATACACTTGATTGAGACCTCCAACTCCACCTACTTGGTCAACAGCTGTTGCTAAGTGCAAATCGTGTACGCGGCACTATACTTGGCCTACTGAAGTCATAAAAATGAATGAGGAGGCCCTTCCTTCAAAGAGCTGGGACTAAGAGGGCTAGAAGGATTGACATTGGAAAGGAGAAAGAAAAAAGGCTCGTCAACGTGAGACTGTGGCTTGACAATAGAGGAATTTAAGAACATGCACCCGTGTGGTTCCAATCTTGTTGCAAATCATGTGCTGGGGAAAGGGTAGGTTATAGGCTTCAGTTGTTGGGAAACATTTGAAAGTACCACTATGGAAAATGTCAAAGCAGAATTTCACACATTCTTTTCTCCAATGTTGGGAAGTTCCAAAATTCAGATTTGAGTACTCAAGCCTAAAAGTCCCATCAACTTTTGACCTAAAATATGGATTGTGTTCTGAGTTGAAGGGATTCACAACAGGCCTCCTCAAGATGTGCCATTTTGGCGTGTAGATTATTTTGAGCTGAAGGCAATTGAGACCCTGCAAGCCCACGAGAAACTTTTACCTCTTCCTAGAAGGCTTTAAATTGGGGTCTTGCCAATAATAAGAGTTATTACCAGAGAGAACGTTTTTCATGACCTATCTATATGGCAAAGAAAATTCTGATTACCGAACATCTGCTCTTCTTATCTTCCTTCGACTTGCCCTTCTCCCCTCTGAAGTCCCAGTGCCTTAACTCATTCCTTGGCTCAGGATGTCATATATACCTCACTTTACCTTTCTGTCTCATGTATATGGGGTCTTTGATTCTCTCATTTATGTGGGATTCTCCTACGTGCATATGTAAATTTGGCTATTTCCTCTTGTTAATCTGTCTCATGTCGATTTCATTATTAGACCAGCCAAAAGAACCTGGAAGGGTAGAGGAAAATGTCTTCCTCCCTCCAGTCATATCTATAATTAGATAGAATGACTGTGGTTATCTTTCTTCCTTTCCTCCTGAGCTTGATTTTCACCAGCTTTGATCTTCTATCCCCTTTTACTAGAATTAAGATCATTCCTGGGCCAACTTGCGAAGCAGAGGAAGGGAAGAAAATGGAAGAAAGGAACATGGATTGAGAGGACCTGCTAAGTGCCGGGCAGTGCTTCATGTTTTACATACATCGTTTCACCTCATCTTCAAAACCAGTCTCTGATTATTATTCCCTTTTACGTAAAAGAAAACCAAGACTCTAAGAGCTTTAGGGCACCCGTGATATTCAGCTCCCACATTCCACTGTGAAGTTGCCTGTCCTTCCACTGTACCATCTTGCCTTCCTTAGTTTTCCTTCCCCAACCGTTTACTATGTCCGCTCCATCACTCTCGCCTCCATGTTTATGGATCCTGTTTTTACCATGAGATGTCCGTAACTGGGCTACCCCATGGGGAAAGTTGGGCCTCTGCTTTGTACCTTGGCCTCCCTCAGCCCTTGTCTAGCTATGAGGCCAGTCTCAGTTTTTCCATCTGAAA